AAGTCTTGTTGATCTTGCTATAAAAAACAGAAACTTTAGCGCTCACGAGAACTGCTGTCATTTTTATTTGGAGAGTTCTATTTAGTTAATTATTTTTGCAGATGATTAATAGATAAATTCCTCAGGTACAGAAATTTATTTGAGAATTTTATGAGTTCCAGAAGTATACGTTTGATCCAGATTACTACAGACTGTTCTGTTTTTGACAGATTCTGTTTTCTATGTGTTGTTTGCTTATTTTGATGAATCTATGAGTAGTATCGGAGGGTATGAACCATAGAGAAGTTGGAATACAGTAGATATTACACCAAGATAAATAAATAATGATTTCATTACAGTACCTTATGATGGTGATTTGCTTTCTTATACTAACGGAGCTTACGAGTTTTCTGTTAAGTTTTGTGTTGTGAAGTTTTCAAGTTTTGGGTAAGGATTCGATGGACTATGGAATAAGGAGTGGCAAGAGCCTAAGCTTGGGGATGCCCAAGGCACCCCAAGGTAATATTCAAGGACAACCAAAAGCCTAAGCTTGGGGATGCCCCGGAAGGCATCCCGTCTTTCGTCTTCATTCATCGATAACTTTACTTGGAGCTATATTTTTATTCACCACATGATATGTGTTTTGCTTGGAGCGTCGATTTATTTTGTTAGGATTTTTTTGCTGTTACTTAGAACATTGTTTTGAATCTTTTATTTCAATAGAAGTGGCATTGATAGCCTTTACTATGCCTATGTTACAAGTCTTCATGTTGCTGTTTGAAAACAGAAAGTTTACCGCTGTTGCAATAATTCCCTAGAAAAGTCAGAATGTGATAAAATGTTGAAACCTTTTGAATATTAAGCTCTGATAAATTTAATACAGTGGGAATTTTCTTTCATAATTTTTGGAGCTAGGGAAGTACGGATGTTGCTACATTCTTTACAGACTATCCTGTTTAGGCAGATTGCTGTTATGTTTGCATTGTTTGCATATGTTTCTTCTTTAATGATTCTATTTGAGGATAGGACTATTAAATATGCAGAGACATTTAGTATGCAATGTTGAATAATAATTTTAGTGATTTTCTACAGTAGAGTATGATAAGGTTTTGGCAATGGTTTATACTAATGTATCTCACGAGTCCTTGTTGAGTTTTGTGTGGATGAAGCTTTTGAGATTTAGGGAGACCGTGATATGAGAGGAATTAAGGAGACACAAAAGCTCAAGATTGGGGGTTCCCAAGGCACCCCAAGATAATATTTCAAGAAGTCTCAAGCTTCTAAGCTTGGGGATGCCCCGGTTGGCATCCCACCTTTCTTCTTCAACAATTATCGGTTAGTTTTGGTTGATCCTAAGTTTTTGCTTCTTCACATGATGTTTGCCATTATTAGAATGAAATTTTATTTTGCTTTGCTTGATGTTTGAATAAAATACCAAGATCTGAAATTATTAAATGTTAGAGAGTCTTCACATAGTTGCATAATTATTCGACTACTCATTGATCTTCACTTATATCTTTCGGAGTAGTTTGTCATTTGCTCTAGTGCTTCACTTATACCTTTTAGAGCATGGTGGTAGTTTTATTTTGAATAAATAGATGAACTCTCATGCTTCACTTATATTATTTTGAGAGTCTTAAATAGCATGGTAATTTGCTTAAAATCCTAATATGCTAGGAATACAAGATTAATAATAAAACTTTCTTATGAGTGTATTGAATACTAAGAGAAGTTTGATGCTTGATGGTTGTTTTGAGATATGGAGGTAATAATATCAAAGTCATGCTAGTTGAGTAGTTGTGAATTTGAGGAATACTTGTGTTGAAGTTTGCAAGTCCCGTAGCATGCACGTATGGTAAATGTTATGTAACAAATTTGAAACATGAGGTGTTGTTTGATTGTCCTCCTTATGAGTGGCGGTCGGGGACGAGCGATGGTCTTTTCCTACCAATCTATCCCCCTAGGAGCATGCACGTAGTGCCGAGGTTTTTGATGACTTGTAGATTTTTGCAATAAGTATGTGAGTTCTTTATGACTAATGTTGAGTCCATGGATTATATGCACTCTTACCCTTCCATCATTGCTAGCCTCTTCGGTACCGTGCATTGCCCTTTCTCACATTGAGAGTTGGCGCAAACTTCGCCGGTGCATCCAAACCCCGTGATATGATACGCTCTTTCACACATAAACCTCCTTATATCTTCCTCAAAACAGCCACCATACCTACCTATTATGGCATTTCCATAGCCATTCCGAGATATATTGCCATGCAACTTTCCATCATTCCGTTCATCATGACACATTCATCATTGTCATATTGCTTAGCATGGTCATGTAGTTGACATAGTTTGTGGCAAAGCCACCGTTCATAATTCTTTCATACATGTCAGTCTTGGTCCATTGCATATCCCGGTACACCGCCGGAGGCATTCATATAGAGTCATCTTTGTTCTAGTATCGAGTTGTAATCATTGAGTTGTAAATAAATAGAAGTGTGATGATCGTCATTATTAGAGCATTGTCCCAAGTGAGGAATAAAAAAAGAAAGGCCATAAAAAAAGAGAGAAGGCCCAAAAAAATAGAAAGGCCATAAAAAAAGAAAAGGCCCAAAAAATGAGAGAAAAAGAGAGAAGGGACAATGTTACTATCCTTTTACCACACTTGTGCTTCAAAGTAGCACCATGATCTTCATAGTAGAGAGTCTCTCATCTTATCACTTTCATATACTAGTGGGAATTTTCATTATAGAACTTAGCTTGTATATTCCAACAATAGGCCTCCTCAAGTGCCCTAGGTCTTCGTGAGCAAGCAAGTTGGATGCACACCCGCTAGTTTCTTTTGTTGAGCTTTCATACATTTATAGCTCTAAGTGCATCCGTTGCATGGCAATCCCTACTCCTCGCATTAACATGAATCGATGGGCATCTCCATAGCCCATTGATTAGCCTTGTTGATGTGAGACTTTCTCCTTTTTTTTCTTCTCCACATAACCCCCTCATTATTCTATTCCACCCATAGTGCTATATCCATGGCTCATGCTCATGTATTGCGTGAAAGTTTATAGGTTTGAGATTACTAAAGTATGAAACAATTGCTTAGCTTGTCATCGGGGTTGTGCATGATGAGAGCATTCTTGTGTGACGAAAATGGAGCATGACTAAACTATATGATTTTGTAGGGATGAACTTTCTTTGGCCATGCTATTTCAAGAAGACATAATTGCTTAGTTAGTATGCTTGAAGTATTAAAAAATTTATGTCAATATGAACTTTTGTCTTGAATCTTTCAGATCTGAATATTCATGCCACAATTAAGAAGAATCACATTGAAATTATGCCAAGTAGCACTCGTATCAAAAATTCTGTTTTTATCATTTACCTACTCGAGGACGAGCAGGAATTAAGCTTGGGGATGCTGATACGTCTCTAACGTATCTATAATTTTTGATTGCTCCATGCTATATTATCTACTATTTTGAATGTTTATGGGCTTTATTATACACTTTTATATCATTTTTGGGACTAACCTATTAACCCGGAGCCCAGTGCCAGTTTCTGTTTTTACCCTATTTTAGGGTTTCGAAGAAAAGGAAAATCAAACGGAGTCCAATTGACCTGAAACTTCACGGAACTCATTTTTGGAAGGAAAGAAGCCCAGAAGACTTGGAGCGCACGTCGGGGGATTTGCGAGGAGGTCACGAGGTAGGGGGCACGCCCACCCCCCTGGGCGCGCCCTCCACCCTCGTGAGCCCCTCGTGGCCCCCCTAACGTACTTCTGCCGCCTATATATCTCCATATACCCTAAAAACATCCATGAGCACAATAGATCGGGAGTTACGCCGCCAGAAGCCTCCGTAGCCACCGAAAGCCAATCTAGACCCGTTCCGGCACCCTGCCGGAGGGGGCAATCCTGCTCCGGTGGCCATCTTCATCATCCCGGTGCTCTCCATGACGAGGAGGGAGTAGTTCTCCCTCGGGGCTAAGGGTATGTACCACTAGCTATGTGTTTGATCTCTCTCTCTTGTGTTCTTGAGGTGATACGATCTTGATGTATCGCGAGCTTTGCTATTATAGTTGGATCCTATGATGTTTTCTCCCCCCTCTTCTCTCTTGTAATGAATTGAGTTTCCCCTTTGAAGTTATCTTATCAGATTGAGTCTTTATAGATTTGAGAACACTTGATGTATGTCTTGCCGTGCATATCTATGGTGACAATGGGATACCACGTGATTCACTTGATGTATGTTTTGGTGATCAACTTGTGGGTTCCTCCCATGAACCTATGCATAGGGGTTGGCACACGTTTTCGTCGTGATTCTCCGGTAGAACTTTGGGGCACTCTTTGAGGTCCTTTGTGTTGGTTGAATAGATGAATCTGAGATTGTGTGATGCATATCGTATAATCATACCCACGGATACTTGAGGTGACATTGGAGTATCTAGGTGACATTAGGGTTTTGGTTGATTTGTGTCTTAAGGTGTTATTCTAGTACGAACTCTAGGGTTGTTTGTGACACTTATAGGAATAGCCCAACGGATTGATTGGAAAGAATAACTTTGAGGTGGTTTCGTACCCTACCATAATCTCTTTGTTTGTTCTCCGCTATTAGTGACTTTGGAGTGAGTCTTTGTTGCATGTTGAGGGATAGTTATGTGATCGAATTATGTTAGTATTGTTGAGGGAACTTACACTAGCGAAAGTATGAACCCTGGGCCTTGTTTCAACACATTGCAATACTGTTTACGCTCACTTTTATCATTAGTTACCTTGCTGTTTTTATAATTTCAGATTACAAATACCTTTACCTACTATCCATATACCACGTGTATCACCATCTCTTCGCCGAACTAGTGCACCTATACAATTTACCATTGTATTGGGTGTGTTGGGGACACAAGAGACTCTTTGTTATTTGGTTGCAGAGTTGGTTGAGAGAGACCATCTTCATCCTACGCCTCCTACAGATTAATAAACCTTAGGTCAAAATCCACTTGATGGAAATTTGCTACTGTCCTACAAACCTCTGCATTTGGAGGCCCAACAACATCTACAAGAAGAAGGTTGTGTAGTAGACATCAGTTGCCATGCTTTTTGGGTCAGCTCGCAGCGACGAAGACCTCTTCCTCGACTACATGAAGATTGCCATGAGATACAGCAACGCACAAGGGCTCGTGGATGCATCACAAGAGGTGAGGAAGAAGGCGACGACTAAGGAGAAGCAGCGCATGGAACAGCGCTATGCAACCCCAGGTAAGGGTATAATGCCCATCAACAAGTTGGTGTGGGCAATGAAGGAGGCGGACTCCAGCGATGCTGGGCAGAGGGAACGGTGGGCAGCCCACCGCTATGTCCCTCCAACACAAGCTACAGCTCCAACTACTATGGGCAACGACGACGAGGACCTGCAGATCATCGCCCCACCAGCACTGTTGGCTCGCCGACGTCCTCCTCCCATCATCGTCATCGATGGAGACGAAGAGGAGGTGCCAGAGCTGCCACCTACCACTCAAGTCAAGCAAGAGGTGCGATGGTCAGGTCACATAGCAGGGCAGGGGCCTAACAATCTGAAACTGTAAGTTTCAGATTCAGTTACAGCAGTTATCGCTAGATCTATGTGAGATTCAGTTCTGTCTGTTTATCAGGGTGTTCGCAATCTCAGTGAGATTCAGTTCTGTCAGTTTAAGTGTCTTTGAACAATTTCAGTGTCCATGTGCTATCTATGTAAGACTAAATGCTATCTTGGGAGACTAAATGTCTCCAAACTTCTCTGAATTTGTCTGAACCTGTGATGAAGCAATTAATAAAGTAAACAAATCTCAGCAAGAACTTATGATACAACACACATAAATAAACTGCATCAGACTTAGATAATTGAACCCATTACAATTCTTAGGTAGTTCAAAGGTAGTTCATAGGTAGATCAGAGCATATTTGCATCAGACTGATCATTCCTAGGCCAATTATATATATAGGCCTCATATATACTTACCATCCACAGCTACCACTTCACTCCTCCATCACAACTTTCTTTATCTTGTCCAGCTTTTCCTTGCACCCATGACCAACCTTAAGGATCTCAGCAATGACATTCTCCAGCTTCTTATTCTGATCTTTAAGGAGATCTTTCTCCACCTCTAGTTCCTTCATGGCCTTCCTTGTGTTTTGGATTATATCAGCTTGACTCTGAAGGATGCACCTTTGTTCTTTCTTGAGCTTAAGCTTCTCCATTTGAAGCTCAATCTTTTCCTGCTCCTCAAGTTGCTTCTTCTTATCCTTCAGTTCATTGATTGCCTGGCTTGTGCAATCCATGTCATGAGATTTGATTCCATCCTCATAATCAAACAACTTGGACACATCATCCACTAGCTGGCCATACTGATTTGCCAGAGAATCAAGCCCCTTCTGCAGTTTTGCAACCTCTATCCCATGAGCCTCATTATCCTGGGCTCTACCAAGGTTCTGCTCATGATACATATCCCAGAGCTTGCTTAAGCACCTTTGTAGAATTACAGGCCAGGGGGCATCTACCCACTCCATAACACCACAGTTCACACCATCCTGAAAATCAATTTAAATTTATAGTGAACAAGCAAATTCAGAATAACAAATCATAAATAATAATGATAAAAATAGCTACACTAGCTAGTTAGTTATATAATACAAATACAATACATCAATACGTTTCATATGTTTCCAGTGCTCTTTACTACAAGTACAGTATTCAGACATACCAATGTTTTCAGACTTAAGGAAAATTCAGAAAAACAACAACTAAACACTCTGTTTCCACTACATAGCAGAAATTCAAGATAATCAAATCCACAACAACTTGGTCCATTACCTTAGTAGCACATCCTATGAATCTCCTACCAGTGTTAGTGCCTTCAAATGCCACAAACTTGCCCGCCCTCTGCCTGTGCAGGATGCACCTTCTGTCAGATTCAGTCATAAGCAAACAGAAACTAGGGTCTATCACAGTGTCAGGAGTTTGCTGCAAAAGAAAAAGCATATCTATATCAACAAAAACTCACATATATCAACTTAAATGGAAAAATCTCAAATATCTTCAAACCCTAACCCTAGAACAGAACAGACAGGAGAGGGAGAGGATAGACTGAGCTGACTTACAAAGTACTCCATCTGCATGCTGCTGAACTCGCTCATGTACTCGTCATCATCGTCCGACATCTCGTTGCTGTTCGGCCACGACGGCATGGTCGTGGCATCGCCGGAGCGCGAGAAGAAGAAACAGAAGCAGAGGAGAGTAGAGAGGAGTGAGCTCGAGGGAGAGCGGGAGAGCTGGTGGGGACGAGCGGCCCGGTCGGCCAGGTTATGACCTGGTCCCGACCAGGTGCGACCGACGAGCGGCTCTAACGACCCCATGTGCGCGCCGTTAGCTGTTAGCCGGGCCGCCCACCTGGCAAGTGGGCCACTCATGTCAGAATCACGGTTAAAACAGTCAAAACCACCATTCAGTCAACCTGGTAGTTTTTAGTCATGTTTTTACGTTTTTTTGGTAGTTCGACCACTTTTAAAAAAGTGGTAGTTCTGTGGGACGCGAACCCCTAAACTGGTAGTTTTTTGTCAAACACTCCATGCAGCCTATGGCACACTTTGGACAGTAAACCATGTATGCCATTGAGTCCAACGCTTTCTCAAGAGCAAGCCTATCCCAACGTTCAAATTCTTCTTTGCTAAGAAGCCTCTTTAATAAATAGTGTGGGATCGAAGCATTACACTTGGTGTCCGGGCATACCAACTGAAACAAACTACCTTCCTTCACATGCATCTTGCATAAGGTCTCCATGCATTTCACACAGAACAAGTGTTGGCATGGGAGTTTGATGAAGTTTGAACCTATTTGATTCATAATTAAAGTCAGTTTATTGTACAAGGGAACAAAGTCGAACCTGTGCAAGTCAGAATAAGAAGAAACATGATAGGAAAGGAGTAACATGTTTTTCCTCAAACATGTACCCAAATGCTTGTCATATCGAATTTATAGAATAATAACAGCTTCACACATTTTGTTCCTTTTTTGGGAATAGAAAACAAGATATAACATGATAATATTAAGCCTAATATATAGAAAGAATTTGTTCATGCGTTTCTGAATTGATCTTCACCACGAAGCATGAAAACTTCTTCCAGATATTTGTTACCACCATATACTCCCTCCGTTCCTAAATATAAGTCTTTCTAAAGATTCCAATATGGACTACATACAGAGAAAAATGAGTGAATCTACACTCTAAGTCCATATACATCCGTATGCAGTCCATATTGAAATCTCTAGAAAGACTTATATTTAGGAACGGAGGGAGTACATGGCAAGGGTCAACGAGAGTACAAAGTGGACGGCCACAATTGAATGGATGCTATTCTTTCTAGGAATGCCCTTACAAAATGCATGTGAAACATGACAGCTCAATTTCTTGCTATATGGTACTACTGAACAAAGAAGGCAAAAAGCAAATGTTTTTACCTTTGCTCTGGTTAATGCATATCATGCACATATGAAGATCCTCAAGAAATGCTTGGTAATGCTTCTTACTATTGTAACTGAGCATTGAAGGGATCACAGCATCCAATGAGACATCTCTTGAGATTGCCCGCATATCTCCTTTGTGCGTTGGAATGTCATGGCCTAACATTATTTTGCCATCAAGCCAGAGATGTGACAATGAAGCATTCCGTATCCACTCAACCCATTGATAAACCACTTCCTGCCCCGGCAACTCTGCCCAGATGGTGTCAAGCATCTCACAGAGTAGAGAAACATTATGTTCATCCATCCATTTAGCGACGACTGTAAAATATGGTGGGTCTTTGCTAGGATAGGATTTTGGAAGTAAGCATGTCAGTACCAAAGGAGGTAAGTACTCAAAGTTGCTAGTGTAAGAGGATTCGTCTTGTTTGTTGTGTTCTCCACAAGTGCTATCATCACATCCTCCATAATTTGGATTTTCATTAGCTGAAGAAAGCTTAGCACGCACTTCAGCTCCATCAGGCGCCGGAGACGAGCTTAGGTGGCGGAGGAGAGTGAAGGAAAGTGGAGTGAAGTGGCTAGGGTTTGGTCCAGCTAGCGGATCGCAAGGAATATATGTGGGGTCAGGTGGGCCAGCATGGGTCGGGTTCGACGTGGCGGGCATGCCCGGGCGCCCCATATCCGCCCCATATTTGGGCTGGATATGAGGGGTGCGGGTTAGCCTGGGCATTTGAGGGTCGTTTGAGGCACCCGTCCGGATCAAAATTTTGCGACCAGACAACGACCAGGGGGCCTGCCAGGGCGTATGACGCTGATTTGAGGCGCCCGGATGTAGATGCTCTTACTCCTACCCTCGGACCGTTGGGTTTGCATAGTTTAGGTAAGGTCTAAGAGCATCTATACCCACATATGACAAATATGACACTTCAAATGCCTGCGGATGCATCCAGGCGCGTTCGCTGGCAGACCGGGCACTACTCAAATTAGCACAACTATATCGAGACTCTCATACTAAATTCTCAAATCCATACAAAAGCATATAAACGAAATAACCTACATACTACGTAGATGATCTAACTACTTATCGGAGATGTCGACTATCTCCGTGCCCGGCTCCGACAGCATGGGAGGTAGCTGCAGCTCCGGCTCCTCTGGCTACTCCGCTCCGGCCTTCTCCCCCTCTATCTCCGCGTCGAGTTCGGTGAAGAGCATGTTGGATGCCGCCTGCTCCTGCCGAAGGAACAACCAGTTGGCCTCCACATAGGCCTCATCCTGGATGGACTCCAGGATGGCCTGCTACTCTGCCATCTCCGTGGCTTGGCCGACAGCGAACTCCACCTCCGCCTTTGTCATGTTGAACCCCGAAGCAGGCTGCTCCACCTCGTCCTCCTCCGGATCTGCCACCTCCATCGGCTCCGACAGCCGCTCTCCCTCCTCCTCCGGCTCTGGGGTGTCCGGAGGCAGCCCCTAACGATGCGGGCAACGCGCCTTGCCTAGATTTCCTCCGTGATTTGCCTCCGGCACTCCAGCATGAGCATATCGTACGTGATTATCTTCCGTCGGACCATAGCGGTGCCAGAGAGAAAGGGAAGGAGACGGACGGGCTTGAGTGGCAGTGCAGAAAGGGAGGAGGTGGATGAGCTAGGGTTGGGGGACGTCGTCTGGCTTAAATAGCTGGATTAGGCCTCGGGCGGCAAGCTGGAGTGGCGCCACGCGGCGTTCACACCGCGGCGACGGGGGAGGCGTTCGTCGGTCTTGTGGGTTTACGGGCGATTCCCCGTGGGACCCAATCGCCAGTCCAAAGTAGCGTGCACGTTTGAACGCCCCCATATCCGCCCCATATTTGGGCTGGATACGAGTGTCAGTCAGTCCGGGCGTTTGAGACCCGTTTGAGGTGCCCGGCTGGGTCAAAATTTCATGACCGATAGTGACTAGGCAGCCCGTCCAGGCGTTTGAGGAGGGTTTGGGATGCCTGGATGAAGATGCTCTAAGAGACAGGTTTCGAAACAACTAATCGAGGAGTACTTCTTCAAAAGATCACTCCCATCTCCCGGAGTTATGACAAGTGACGCACTGCATGTGCGCTACTTGTTGCAACATGTGAGTTTCCCTTCTTCCGTAGATCCGTTTATTCTAAACATTTTATCTCTTAAACCATGGTACAAATATCGAATCGTTTTTACCATTGGATTCCTCGCGTCAAGGTCTTCAAAACTAGATCCCGTGTTGATAGGCTTTGATGAACTTTTTTCTTAAAAAACCAGACAAAAACCAACATGGAGCACTTTTTTCCTTTCCGAGAGGCATAGTCGTGCCTCTCACGGAAGCAAATAAAGCAAAAAACCATGATTCTCACAGGGTATTTTATTTCCTGTTTCTGAGAGGCATGGCTCACGGAAGAAATATTGTGCCTCTCATGGAAGGAAAAAGCACTACAAGAAATATGTCAACTTGCGACCATCACTATTGGTCGCTGAAAGGTCATAGTTTTTCATTTGCGACCTTTTTGTGACCAAAAACACAAGGTCAAAAGCCGGCGGTCGTAAACTGAAATTAGTGACCTTCTTTGTGATATGTAAAAGGTCGTTGGTTCCACGACCAAATTTTTTGTCACTAGCAACCTCCCCAGGCCACGTAGGCATCCAGCGTGGCAAGTTGATGTGGCACAAGAATCTGCCCGGTCCAATTCGGTGTTTATATGGGCCGATCCCATTAATTCAGCCCATTTATAATTTTTTCCCTATGAATTTTTTGTCAGCTTCATGGACCAAGCCCAACATTGCAGCCTTTTTATTTTTGGCCCATGGCCTTTTTGTCTCAACAGTTTCATTTTTTCTTTTTTTTTCAATGTCACATTCTTCATTTTCCAATTTAACGTAAATAAATACACAATATTTAAATTGGCACACAGAAAACACACAAAACAGAGTCAATACACTGTTCAAATATTATCAGCCAGAGTCAATACAGAGTTGTTGTTGTACAAATAACTCTAACATACACTTTGCAAGCTCTACAAGTGTAACAAGCTCTACAAGTGTTATGTTCGTCAGCAAGTGTAGCAAGCTGTACAAATAACTCTAACATACAATAGTGGAAGTCACAGTTACATGCTCCACACGTTCAATAACATGGTACTTTACAAGCTCTACAAGTGTTATGTTCTTCAGCATGGAGCTCCTTCGACAGCGATTACAAACTAGGCACCTGCTCTTCTTGTCACTATGAGGAGGTGGGTGCTCGCCATGGTGTGCTTGATGATGCACATGACCATGATCTTCTTGCCACTATTGCATCTGTGCACTCGATGATGGGGGTACCAATGCATACAAGTAGAATAAAATTACCAGCATTAACCCACAACTTCAAGTACAAGCTAAGTATGTATCAAGTGACAACAAAAACAAGTTTATATGCTAGTACAAAATCACCATCATTAACAAGTTTATATGGGAATGAAGACAATCATCAGTACTGAGTTAAACACAATGCTATCTTCATATTAACAAACAGAATATCTCATTTTCATATTCTCAATAAGCAAGTACAGTCTGCTTCAACCCATGTTCTAAAAAAGATGTTTATCCTAGCTTAATACAAAATGAGCAGTTGCAATTCTAGCAACAATCTGAGAACACAGTCCTCTCGGTTTGAACGAGCCAGAGAACTAAACCCAAACCAGATCAAGACACGAAATTCACAAGGAAACTCATCGCAGCAACAATTCAAACGAACAGCACAAGACAGAGGCGGATAGGTGGCGGAACGGGACCAAGGCGCTTACCACGGAGACCTGCCTGGCGTCAGGGTGCTTCTCCTTGTACTCCTTCCTGAAGTTGTTACTGCAAAGAAGAAACACGCACCAAATCCTCGGTCAGGACGCGACTCCACACCACAGAAGCAACATGAATAGAACCAGGAACCAAGACTGGGACTCACATGAAGATCAAGAAGGCACTGGGGGCGCTTGGGCTTGTTGGGGTCCTTCTCAGCCTTGCTCTTCTTCATCGCAAGCCTGCGCCACCACAGCAGCAGCAGCAGCAGCAGCAGCAACAACAACAACAAACCAAACCGAGTTAGAACTCGACACTAAACAGCAGCAGCCACCACGGGAAACGAAAAAGAGATGGGGAGACAAGGGAGTGAGGGGTTGGGGCACTGACCTGGAGTCGCCGGCGCGGGAGCCCACCTTTGTTACTATGTTAAATAAAGTTGATTTGCCAACATTAGGTAACCCAACCTGCATGAAACGTCAATATAAACTTCATATCTCCTCTTATTCCTCAATAGTAAACGTCAATAGCAAACTACTATGTTAAAGAAAATAAGATGATGGTTCTGGAAATAGTAAACTTACAAGACAATAAGACCACAAACACACTATTGCATTCACAACTATTAGTAAAGCAGCAATAGAAACTAGTGATAATGCACAAGCAACTTTTGCATATGTATATACGATCAAACATTACAGAAGTATAATTGTTATTCTCATCTCACTCCACAAGTGGCCCTATGAATATGCCAGACAGAATACTGAACATGCGAGGAAAAACTATAAAGAAGATATTTTACAGATTTACTGTGACATATTTACCCTACATGTGAAATATTATCTCAGTCATTGTCAGCTCAAACATGTCTTGGTTTTTTCAGAGAAAATAGGCAGGAATTAAGACCCAAATGTGCATGTATAACCAAAACCTATAACAACCAGAAGCTATCAGAATAAATCATAGAGGCTGGCCAAACTAATTGGCGCACTCAAACGATACAAGAGAGCGGCCCGGTGAACAACTAAGCAAACATACACAGCAAGTAAAACTACATCACCAAGGCAAGTCATGCACAAATTGTTGACAATAAGATGTAGGGACAGGTTAATTTAGTGTTCAGCGGCATCATCAAGCCACATTAACTCTGTGAAACAATACAAATCAATGGTGATGTTGAATCACGTACAATAAATGTCCAAATCAGACTATGAAATATCTTTGACAATAGACAAATGATCACCGCATGGTCATATCAAATCAACTGCAACCTAGCTATAACTATCAGGCACACCAAGAAAAATCTGCACAGAAACTATCAACAAAGATGCAGCAGCCGAATCCAGCATCCAATCAATTCAGAACACAATCATATACGCCCTATCTAGAGAGGCTTAGAGCGCACGGGTGTGTTCTTGCACCTGTACAGAGTACTACTGACTGACCCCAAAACAGAGCATCATCACAGTAAAACACTTCACCAGGAGCCATGATGCATCAC